AGTAGCTACACCCAAACGGTTGATACCATGCTAACAATTTCTTGCTACCTGAGTAAAAGTTCTTCCAAACTTGGGCGGTTATCAGCCCCCTTGCCTCCTTGAATATTAGTGGGTGCTTGCTTAGTAGTGATTTTAGTAGAAGCATTTATTTTAACATTTATTTATTTAACAAAAGCATCCACTTAGGGTGAGGTTGAAGGAAGTTAAATATATGGGGTAGTGTGCAGGAAGGAAGCATCTTGAAAGCCTGGTGTTCTGGGTTCAGGCATTCCAGTATAGGAGGTGCATGTTTCTTTGAGTAGCTCTTGAAAGCAAACATACAACAAACTTTCCTGTTGTTCTCTTTTTTTCCTTGACTCTCTCATTTTCCAGGTAAATCAGTTGTACCTGATAAGAACACAGGGCTCTTGCAGGGATTTCCTCTCATCAGTGGGAAAGACTTATCTTAGAGACTATTGCTTCTGAAGGTGGCTGGTCAAAGAAAAAGGAATTTATTGTTGTCCCTTTTCCTGAAGCCTTTCTGGATTATTTGGTTTATATTTTAAACCTCAAATCACCATTTTGAAATGTTATGTACTTACACACAGCTGGCTGTATTGGTGATCAAAAATGCCAGGTGTTCCCAAGAACAATTTATTGATGCTTGAAGTACATTCGAAGATTGGGGAGTGTTTTGCCCAACTGTGTGCTCAACAGAGAGGCATTGCTGCCCTGAGCCTTGAAGATTAAAAAGATTAAATGCTCTTTTGTTGCTACTGCTGGCAGGAAGGAGAGGCTGGAAGTGTGATGGGGCTGCCCCTGTTGTATTTTTTGTCTTGATTTGATGTTGATCTGGTGGGTTTTTTGTTCAAGGATGTCTGTCAGTAAAATGAACTCTGTGCTGTGGACAGTCTGGTGTGTGTCTCTGGGTGGCTTCTCCTGCAGCCTCTTCTGTGACACAGCTGCAGGGTTACTTTCTGTAGAGCTGAGCATTGTGATGTTTTCTGGATCTTGTATGTTTTCTCAAACTTTAACGTTAAAACACGGCCAGGTTGTTGCTTCTGGCTGGAGACTGAGAGAACAAGGAGAGGAGAGTTGTCCTGGGAAAAGGCATTAGTAGTATGATAGAAGGACTGACTGTTCTGCTTTTTTGGTTGTGTTGTTTTTTTGTCTTTTTTTTTTTTGAGGGGGAGTATATTTGCTGTTTTTCTGGTTGTACCTTGGTCTACTGACTTGGAGTTTTTCCTCCAACAGTAAGGACCTGGAGATGGTTTTGCTTTTTGTTATATATAGGGTATGAAAAACATCACTTTTTTAATTCTTATTTTCTATGTAGCTTGTTTTATTTGTTGTTTTGTTTTTTTAATTTTGTGGTTCATATTTTTGGGAAAAATACTGAGAGAATGCAAGGTGTCATAAACTCTCACTATACAAGGTGCTTACATGGAAATAGAGAAAAAAGATGGGTTTCAGAGCCATGTAGGGAAAACCGCCAAGGTCTGATAATAAAGTGATGAATCAGGAATGGGTGTCAGTGACATGTAATTGATTTTTGTTTCCAAACTGCCATAGCAACATGGGGCTTCTCACCAGAGGGGTCTGGGGCTGCCCGAGCTGGCTGTGGCATACATAATATTTAGAGGCTGGGGATCGCAAGGTGGCACCTCTTTTCCAGGGACGAAGGAAACAGGCAAGGAACAGTTTTTACATTTGCATTTTACATAAAACTGTTGCCTTAATTTCACAACAAATCCGGGCTTGCTGCGTGAGTCCTGTCCAGACTTTCATCTCACGTAAGGAAGATATGGGATGGTTACATTTGAGGTGCATTAATTTCTGCCACGTGTCTTCTGAAGCATGTTTCTAACAGTCCTCAAGCTTGACTTCTGGCTTTTGAAGCATAGTGACTCTCAGCATGGGTGGTGACTCAATGAGATCAGTTAAACATTAAGATGCTAAAGGTGTGACTTCTTAGGCTTTGACAAAAAGTGCTGTCAGCATGTAAAAAACACTTGCAATGTATTGCACATCTGCTCAGGTGTGATTCTCTACGTTGTTACAGAAGTTACTTTTTTTTTTATAAGATCCCATGCCATGCTTTATATAGCTCTGGGTGTTTTTAAAGCATAACCTGTTGCCTCAGCATATCACTTTCATATCTTTTACACTATGAAGGTGGATGGAAGATAGATTCACAGTGAACCCTGGGTTTTCTCTCCCAGCACCCTTCCTTCAGGCTGCAGGCTGGTAACTCCCAAATAAGAGGGAGACTATGGGTTTCTGCCAGAGCAGCTATAGGATTTACTGGTCTCTCTCCTTGAAACACGTTGGTCTGCCTTTTGTAAGAGGTGATAGGAGATTAGCGTCTAGTCTCTGGCCAAAACAGTCTTCTGGTGCACATTTACTTGGAGTGCCATTTGAATTGCCCTTCCCAGTGTGCAGTGACATGGGAGCTTGTGCTTGCTTTCTTTGTGGAGCAGACCTGATGATCCTTTTTACAGGACAAAACTACTGGTGCTTGTAGTAAGCCGCAGTGTATAGGCAGGCTTTGGCTGCATCTGCCTGTGCCCCGTTATGCTGCTCTCATGGATAAATGTCCATAATGTTTCGGATAATATCCAGAAACAGATGTTTCTGTTCTCAGTTGACTTACACTGGACTGCAGAGAGAGCCTTCAGAAGGCAGCGAGTGGCCAAACATGGGATTGGCACGGAAATAGATGTTTTTGCTTTCAGAGTGGCCGAGGAGTTGGGCAAGAGCCTTGAGAGCAAACAGACACGTGGTTCCCAGATAGCTTATCAGAAAGTGCACTACAGGCATTACTGAAAGACTTGCTGAGAGTTTAACCTTTCTTCTGTTTTTAAGCTCCTGCTCTATGTGCTAAAGTGGACAATTTAGTGTCTGGCATGTTGTCCCGGCCTGGAATTTCACAACAGCCCTTTGTGAGGCTTGGTCTCCTCCAGCCATGAACTTTCACCTCTGCCTGGCCTGGCATGCTGCGTTCCCTGTCTGGGCCCCAGTGGTGGCCAGCCATTGCAGCTGGCAGCGGTAGGCCCTGTAGGTAAATGGGCCTTGGGTTCTTTTTGTGGTGTTACTGCTCATCTGACAGTAATAAAATAAAAATGAGCAACTTGCGGAGATTGTCTTTAGGAAGTGCTTGTGTATAAATATGGCTGTCTTTAATACCTTTAATTTATAATCTATATTTAAGGGGTTTCTCATTTCTAAGCGCTACACAGCCCTTCTGGATTGTGAAAATAAGCCCAGGGACTTCTGAAAGTTTGCCTGGAACTCAGAGGTACCTCCTAAATGTGGTTTTGTTTGCAGCTCGCCTGGACGTTTTTGTTGCAAACTAAAAATTGATTCTTAATAATTGCAGATATTAAGTGGAAGAAATATAATTCCTACTAAAATACTTTGAAGATGTCAAGAGCTTCAAAGAGCAGTTCTCGCTGCCTTGCTGAACTACTTGCTGTAGATAGCCAATAGCTATTTGGTGGGAAAAAAAATACTCATACCACTTGCTTCTGGTTGCTTTGTGTACCTTCAATATGCAGCTTGCAGAATGGTGTAGAGAATCAGACAAGGCAGTACAGTGACAAACTCAGGCTTTTGTTTTCATTTAATGTATTTTTGAGTTTAAGTGTTTGCAGAAAGCTGGCACGTTTCTTTTAGCCACAGAAGTGCTGTGCTTCTTGGTGAGATGGTACATTTTGGGGAGGATATCTTCTGTGATGTTGAACCAAATGGATGAGTCAGAGCTGCATGTCATGAAGATGCCTAATGCTGCAGTGCACCTAATTGAGCTCTTTTGAGGGAAGGTTTGTTTTGAAGTTGCATCTGACTTTTGAGAACAAATTCATGTTTTTATTTTGCATGATTGGCCGTTAGATTTCAGTAAATATTTTTGGGACAGCCACTACAATTACATTATACACAAGCAGTTGTTTTTTCTGTAAAGTTTTAATTCTGAAGTATCTGATCCTCCAAAGTTGGCTGTACTTATTTTTTATTAAATGTGTATGGCTCCTGTTACCATCAATATTTGAACACTTCACAAATCACGAGCAAACATGCCTTCCTACATTTATTCAAGGATACAATAGGGCTATCTACACTTTACGCCCAAGAGAGACTAAGTTGCCTGTCTGAGAGCAATGAGGATGTTGGGCTAAAGCCAGGAATGCAGCCCGACTCTTCTGAGGCTTAGTCTGAGCCTAAGAGGAAAACATCTTGAAGGTTAGGGAAGCTAAGGGACCTTTATTTTTCCCGTCTTTCTCATGGAAAGGTGGGAGTGCCTTAATAATGGGCTTCAGAGTGTGGTCCATTTGCTCTTCTTTTGGATGAAAAGGGTGTTTTTGGTATTAGGGGTAGCTCTGGAATGAAAGTTTGGCTCCTGTCTGATTTGTGAGCTGTGTTGGAGGCTGCTGTACTAAGGCTCTCCGGCTCAATATGAAGAGCTGGTCTGACAGGACATATCATTAGTCTTTGTCACCTTCCACATCTCAGGATGTTTTTCTGACACCAGAAACATCTTCCCATTTTGCATATGGGAGCCTGAAACCAGAAACCTCTGGGATCTTGTGGCAAAAGAGCTACTTTTCCTGCTGTATCCAAGTGATGCCATATAAGTCAGTAGCAGAGCATCCTTCTGGGTTGTCTAGCAGTAGGTGTTTGGGGGCATTATGGTGGTGCACCCTAATAACATCAGAAGTGCCAGTTGAGCCCCATAGTGTCTAAACAAAAGTGGCCTAAGGAGGGAGAGATTTCTGTGCTGGGTGCTCCCCTTCTGTAAATAAGGGCCTGATTAAACTTACTCAAATTACTCTTTATGTGAACTTCATGGGATTTGGGGCTTGATTTGAGGGGGAAAGCTTTTCCCCGCTGTTCCACAGAACTGCATAAATTTCCATCACTCATGCTAAGAATGAAGCTTGAAAAACAGTCTATTTCAGTGTTAGTATCTTTAAAAGCATTTGAGAATTTCGTAACTAATTTTGTTTTATCTGTCTTTCTTCCAGTGGGATCTTGTTTGTGATTCTGCCTGGAAAGTCCACATTGCAAAATTCTCCCTACTTGTAGGATTAATCTTCGGCCACTTGATAACAGGATGTATAGCTGACTGGTAAGTGCAATATCTTTTAATGCAGTATATCAATTAATGTCAATATTAAATATTGATTAGGTTTTTATCTATTTCATAAAGAACCTTTGCTTAATAATTTTCAGGTTCTGAAAAGAATGTGATGAACAGTTTAAAACTGTGTGTTAATTGCTTGAACTGAGTAATGTGCTCCAAGGTAAATAACAAGAAAAATAAGCTATTTGATAGTTAACTTAGTTATTTCCTGCTGATACAATTTATTACAGCTGTAGAGCTGGTGCAGAAGTATGTATTTGGTAATCATGTAAGTGAAGTCTTTGGTTTAGGTTTTCTTTTTTCTTCTTCTGAACTAGGAGATAAGGTAAGAGGAAGTTGAGAGCAGCATTGATTTGACTGAGTACAAGAGAGTTGTGTGATGTCAACCCTGTGCTGTACAGTGATTTTTAAGAGTGGTAGAAAACTGTTGCAAACCTTTCAGTTGTTCCATATTTAAAGTTGTTGTTAAGCAAACATTCTGAATTCATGTTAAGGAATCTCAGACTTATGTGGTGCTGATATTGGGGTATTAGATTTAAACACACAAAATGCTATTCCTTAAATTACAGTACTGAAAACATTGAGGTTCCCTAGTTGTTCAAAAAGTTCAGTTTTTATGCAAAAAGAGGGTCTTGTAGTGCAGGAGAAGGGGAAGAAAATTAAAGCCCTGATTCAAGTGATTTAAATGGAAACTTGCTGAATCTGAAACAGTAGCTGTGATGCCATCCCAGTCATTTCAGTGGTTCCAGCACAGTTGCCCGTGTCAGTGCTTTAGATGGCCCCAAGTTAACTGTTCCACCGTTTGCTAAACCAGGAAAGGAAGGAGTTGCTTATTACAGAAATTCTAAAAAGCCCCAGCGATGGCTCATCAGTCAACGAGTAGAGAAAAGGCTCCCTGCAGCTGTGCAGCAATGTGTCTCAACTTTTATAGCAAAACTATGTCTTTCTTCTTGAACAGTCATTAAATGTTTTTAGGCAAGTGAAGAATTATGACTTCTCAGTGAAGCAGGGAATGGGCATGGTGAAATACAATTCAATTTGATTAAAATGCCATGGTAAAACAGGGCTGTAACAACATGTACAAAGTATAGTGGGGAAACAAATGAGGGTTCTCATTTGTTTTTCCAAAATAAGAGTTTGTATGGAGGAAGCAGGCTTACTGCCAAGCTAGGGAAATGCTGCTGTAGTTGACAAGTACGTCACAAATAAGTGAACAACTTGTTGCCTAAGGCACTGGCTTCAAGGGAGAGATGCATTAAGCAGATTTAATAGTTCTCTGAGAAAGGAGTGCCCTGTTCTTCTATCCGTTTCTCTCCTCAGTGTGTAGTTTGCTGTACCACGTTCTTTTTGTGTGTTTTCCCTACAGTAAGATTAAGAGAGTTTAAGGACAAACAGTTTGACAGGTGTAATGTGATGGAGAAAAGGGTAATTTAGTAACTGGGGGGAAAGAGTGCACCTCTTGTCCTTTTGCAAGCATTGCATTGCGCTGGCTGCTGCCACCAGAGCTGATCCCTGTGCTCCTCTTGTGTCCCATCATTGCCATCTAATGTAACTGATGCAGCAAGGTAGTCCTGCGCTGGGATAGTCCTTTTTCATTTGGTAGTGGCAGTGGTGCTGTTGAAAGAGCACCTAGACTGGATTAGCTTTGTTATTCAATCACCGTTTGAATTTTACTCTAAGACTGGGGGTTGAGTGGAAAGACAAATACAAAGGGGATTGTACTTGGAAGAAATAAAATTATTTTTTTAAAAAGTCAATCCAAAGCAAGAGCAGGCAAGTATGCCAGATTGATATACAAAAGTACTACAATCTTTCAAAATTCTCATTTCACTTGTATATCACTATCCAGCTTAGGTAATCAGAGGAGGCTTTGGGTGTTGGGTTTAGACTGGTTGATTTATTGCTGTTTGGTTGTGTAGTGTGTATTTTGTTTTGGGTTTTTTGGTGTTTTTTTGTTTGTTTGTTTTTGAGTCCATAAGATCTGGAGCTTTGCTTTTCCTTTTTGAAAGGTTTTTAAAGCTGTACATGGCCAAAGTATAGTATGCATTATGATAATTTGCTAAGTGGACTGAGTGGTCTGTGTTCAATATACAGTAGGTGGTGTGCAAGCTTCAGTAGCTGTGTGTGATAAATCCATAGGAAGAAGATCTGCAAACTTGTGGCCGTGTAAGAACAAGCAGTGTCCAAAGGCTGAGTAAGCTGCCTGTTTAGGCAGGGTGCTGCTGGCACTCTTATTTCAGATCAGGAGCTGTAAAGGTTACTGTGGAAGGGTCCCTCTGGAGCAGGCACGCTTGGTGGCTGTGTGGCATCAAGGCAGAAAGTCTGTGCCTCTTCCTTCCCTGCCCTGGTACTCCTTGGAGCCTTTGTGCCAGTTCAGATCCCAAAACTGAGAGAGCCTGCAAAGAATGGCACTGGAAGAATAATGAGATTGGCTGAAGGACCAGCCTTCTCAAGGGTGGCAAGGCACATGCGTAAGAGCATGGGAAGGGCAGGTCCTGTCCTCAAAACATTTGCCTTTGCCCTGCACCTCTGACTCTGGAAGTATCTGATGCATCTGCGTATCATTCTGGGTAGGTTGCAGGTTGATCAGAAGCCTGTGGTTGCTTGTATTCCTAGTTATTTACCTGTGTAGGCAGAATTTAACATCTGATACACATAATAATATGTGGTGTAGGCTGAGACTGTTGTGGCATGGAAATCTCTCTCTGAAGTAGTGTGGATGGCAGCAGATAGCATCCCAGGGCTGTTTTACAAGGGAGACTGTGTATGATTTAATCTCTCACAAGCGTTTCCATGTAGTTTTAGTCAAATAACTCTGTCTACACATAAAAGGATTTATATACTTTTAAGACAGCTTCCTGTCAAAACGCTGCTGGATCACCAGCAATGTGGCTGATAGCTGCCCTGCAGTTCTGATTTCTTTTTTTGAGAAATGTAATGAATTTTGGGATGAGGAGAAATGCTAGCTTTGTCTCTGGGAGGAGGTACTAAGTGGCTCGGGGGGCTTTCAGAAGCCCAGGAGGATCTCCTGATTCTTTGTTAGCAGCAAACGTTCATTTACATAATTTGTATAATGGTAGGAGAAATTCCAAGCCCTAATGATGGGTAACCTCAAATAAAGAGGATGGGAGGAGGGGAGGAAGGGAACTGATGTCTGTGAAGCATGGAGCCTTTTTTAATCAGCATCAGGAAATGGCAGGTCAGGCTTGTGATGAGAATTAAACTCCTAATTCCGAGGGCTTGCCTAATGCCTTTCATCCATAAAACGCTTCCACAAATACTAATTAGTATGAATTGCAGCTTGACTGTTACGAAAACCAGGCTGTGAAATTCTGTGCACATCACCAATAACACAGAGTTCGCGGTTTTCGTATTCAAGGTTTGGTATGAGGTACTTTCCCTCCCTGCCCAAGTGCTATGTGCCCCATAAACACAAAACGTAGAGCACAGGCGTCAGCAACTGCCATCGTGTCCCCCGTGTTCCCAGCACATTGCAAAACGCTTAGGGGGAAGAAAAGCTGTGTTCTCACCCTCAGGCTCATCTCTGACATCAGGCATTTGCACCCTGATGAAGAACCATCTGCTCTGACCTTGTAGTCTCCAGCCTGCCTCCTGGTACTTGCTGCTTTCGTAGGAGAGAATATGTTGAGTTGTAAGGGACCCATACAGATCCTTGAGTCCCAACTCCTGACTCCACCAATGAGTTAAGTCTTGGTGAAATACCCTGCAGTTGATGATGCAGCTGGAAAAAAAAAGAATCAAAACCCAAAAACCTGTCCAATATCATCATCTCTGGTGTACTTTGAAAAAGTGTAAGTGATGATACAATTACTGGTTTGCTTTTCCAGTTTCCAAAGGCAACAAATATGATATCTCCTTTCCATCCCTTTGTCCTCTATTTCATTGATCTTGTTCCTCTTTAAAACAAAATTCAAAGTTTTAGTTGTGACTGCATGTATGAAATACACTTTACAGCTGCTGGTAACAATCAAATAATTGAATCGAAACACTTCAGTATGTGAAACTGGATTAGGTAGTGATGTTTATATGCTCTTTATTGTGCTGACATTCAGCCAGATAGCTGGCTTGCAGCTGACAGTCTGCTTTGAATGGGTCTGTGAAAGCTGCCTACGAAAAGCAAGTTCATATATTCTTTGTAGAAATGGCATATGGAGCTGACTGAAAGAAATCCTCAGTTCCACTGGAAAACTTGTGGGAGTTGACAAGTTGAAAAATTTTGGAAATCTCCACGTAACGATCCAATTTTTGCTTAAAAATAGCAGCGTGCTCTGGTGCTTCATATTACCAGCCTTGCACATGAGGGGGGGAGGGGTGGAAGGGGAATTATGAACAGTGAGCATGTGAGACATGTAAAAGGAATATGAGGCTTTGCATAGGAGCTGACTTCTGCAGCAGGTGCCCTATGTTTAGTAGCAGCATAGTTCCTCATCCTCACCTGCAGCTGAAAATCTTCTCTGCCAAGGAGAGCTGAAAATGCACCTCAGTTCCAGTGTCTGCTTTGGAGTGGTTTCTTCCTCCTCTTCTCCCTCCTTAGCTGGTTTTGTGGGTCTTTTCAGCCACTGTGGGGATGTGACACGGATGGAAGAGTGGAGCTCACCACTTTCCTGCAAGCATTACTGTCAGCTGCCTGAGGATTAGGGAAGCAGCACAAGCCCTGTTTTTACATTCAGTGCCTGTTTCTTAGGCTTGTCCTTAATAACAAGGCTAAGAAAAGTGATCTTTTGAGCGTGCTTCTCTTGCAGAGGAGGCTGGAAAGCACGTTTGTTGGGAAGAAGAGACCTTTGCAATAAGCTCGGTGGCTGTAGGCTGTGGGGAAATAATATATGCTATCATGTAACATATATAATATAAACCCATCTCATCTGCTACTGAAAGCTCTGAGAAGCTGTTTTTGATCTCCAAGATATTTGTTTATGGTTCTGTTGTAGTTCGTAGAAGTTTCTTTGTTCACTGTTGTTGTGCAATTGGCCGACTGATGTCTTAGTCAAGAAGTAACAAATCACATGGTGACCCTGCTTAATTCCACCTGAAGTTAATCTGTCAATGTAAAGCTGACTGAAGAATCAAGTGGTTTTTAGTAAGCAGGAGGTGGGGAAAATGGAACAAGCATTAAAAATGAGTGGGAATATTTAAAAGGCATTGCATGATTTGTGCTCTTTGTAATGCTGGAGTGTTATGTCCACCCTGGCTTTTAACACCATTTCTCTCTACTTCCTTTCTTATTTTTAGGGTTGGTCGACGGCCCATACTGCTCTTCTCTGTCATATTCATTTTGATATTTGGACTGACTGTGGCACTCTCAGTGAATGTGACAATGTTCAGCACACTCAGGTTTTTTGAGGGGTTTTGCCTGGCTGGAATAGTCCTCTCCCTGTACGCATTGCGTGAGTATACTTTTACAGCCCATCCAAATGTATATTTACAGAGTATGTAGCTGTTCTGGGGCATCCTGCTTTCCTAAAAGCAAACAATTCAGAATCATACCCTTTGAAAAAAGCTTCAGCCTGTGTTTTAATAACAAAGTAGGGATTTTTGCAGCTATCTCTTTAGGTTGGTACGAAGCAATTCTAAGCTCAGTAGGAGACTCTACACTTTTCCTGTCTGGAACTATTTCAGAAATTCCCCTGCTACTTTGCAGCTAGGAGGTCTCTTGTCCCTGCCTTGGATTGTGAAGTACAGCAGAAATGTGAGACGAGGAGCCTGATGTCTTCTTATCAAGGCTTCTTGATTCTTTGTAGTTTTTGTTCCTTTGTTTTTTGAGTATTTCAAGGGGGATAAAATCTGAGAGAATCTTGAAGGAAAGCCTATGAGAAATGTCTGTGTACTCATAATATCTAGGGGAGATGCCTGGTAAACTTGCTGTCAAAATATATGGAAGCCCTCTCCAGAGGCTGTGCCTTCAGAGGGTGCACGTGCAGTACTGCCAGCCCTCAATGTGTCACTGGGATGCACTCCAGGGAGCTCTGTGTGCTTGTGCTTCCTTTGCTGTTTGTGATAAACGGGTAGTACACCACCTGAGGAAAAGTACATTTCTCCCTTTTTATTATGACTCTGGAAAATTATTGCCTAAATATATTCTGGGACTTGCTGTACAAATCTTCATAAAATTTTATTCACTTCCCATCATAGATGTTAAATCCGTATGGGTTATAGATACTGCAGTATCCTCTATGTGGGGTATTAAGCTCTACAGTATTTGTTTTTGTGTTTTGAGACTGTGCCATGGGGGAAAGAACCTGACTAGAATACACAATGCTTTGTTCTTTTGCACTTCTTTGTAGTAGATAGTACAGTACCCGAGAGTGTTTCACTTTTTTTCCTTTGCTTCTCTTGCCTTTAGTGATATAATCCCACTTTGACAGTGGGGTTGGACTAGACGGTCCCTTCCAGCCCCTACAATTCTGTGATTCTGTAATTCCTAGCAAGAATTCTTCATCAAAAAATAAAACTGTTATTGAAGTCATGAAATCTTCTTTTGTATTCCCCCACCACCACTCTATATAATATCAGTGAAACTTCATTAACCCTTTTACTTAGTGACCCTAGAGATCTTGCTAGAATGGAAGAAACCAATGTAGACAGAGTTGTTGCAAAGTATAACTAGCATCAAACCTAATCTCTGCTGCTGCAGTTGACTCCAAATGCTCATCATGATCTGTGAAGAAAGATCTTCCCTTCCAAGGACAGCTCTTACCAATAGGATATTCAGCTGGAATTTAAAGTAGTTCGGGTTTTTCACTGCTCATTGAAGTATGTACGTTTTTCTTGGTTGCTTTGTTGTTGGGCTTTTAAAAAAAATTTAAGAGAGTTATTGCAACTGAAAATTTTTGTTAGGATATATATAAAAATTCCATTGTGAACCTGAGAGAGTCTGTGTTGTGTTGGAGTAGTTTGACAGTAGTTTGCAGACCAGGTCCCATTCAAAACAAATGGAAGAGCAGGGTTAGTCCATGCTCTGTTTGATTCAGATCAAGGGCTTGAATTTGATTTCAGGCCCACCACCCACCATAATTGAGGTGTTTGCTTGCAACTGCTTACGTGAGTGTGCCCTTTGCAAGTGGGTGTGTGTCTGCATAGGCATTGCAACCTTCTGTGGAGTCCTCTTCTGTTTCATACCCCCTTTTCTCTTTCTGTTACTGGTTTTGGTTTCTTCCACCAAAGCTTTGGGCCCCAGAATTCTCACTTGGTTGCCCTGAGCAGAACAACAGAAAATAGAAAGTTTATTCAGCCAGAAAGAGACACCAGCTGAAGTTTCCGATAGTATTATGCAGAAGAAAACTCTACAGGATTATACAGCCTGCAAAGATGCTTGGATTTATGGCCCCCCTCAGGGAAATTGTAAATAACCATCCTGATGCTCTAGGGGTGGGAATAGCACCAGAGTGCTGCCTTTGAAACAGAGCTGCTGAACTTGAGTAGCCTTCACCGTTCACACAGTGCTCTGCCCAACAGCCTAATGTGGTTTTCCTATGGGTCCCTGCCAGTGTGCTGAGCAAGCCCTGGGACAGGCCTTGCCTTCTGTGCCACTGCAGGCTGGCTTCAGCAGTGCCGTGAGCTGGCTTCTTATAGGTTCTGCACATTGGAAAGGAGGCTGCAGTGAGATGCTGTTTGGCCTGTTTTCTCAGGTGACAAATCTGACAGGATGTGAGGAAATGGCCTTGTGTTGCACCAGCAGAGGTTTAGATTGGGTGTTGTGAAGAATATCTTCCTGGAAAGATATCTAGATACTGGAATAGCTGGCGGAGTCTGCATCCCAGGAGGATTTAAGAGACGTGTGGATGTGGTGCTTATGAATATGGTTTAGTGGTGATCCTGGTAGTGTTATGCGATGGTTGGACTTGATGACCTTAAAGATATTTTCCAACCTGAATAATTCTGTGATTCTGCACAGCATCTTGCTGCTCAGGACTTAACAAATCTAAGTAGTTTCCTTAGCTAAGATGAAAAGCTGTCATGCAGTTGTTTTAGTTTTTGTCAAAACTTTTGCTGGGAAAGGATTTCAGATGAAACTTCTGGTCAACCTGCAGGAAGAAATGGTCTGTGCACAGGTGTTGGCAGTTGCTGTGAACGGGGCAAGCAGAGGAGGAATGAACTGGGATTTTTCTTCTCAGTGCTACGTTCATGGCCTTGTTTGGGAGAATAAGAGGGAGATGGTTCTTTTCACCTGAATAAACTACAATTCTGTGAAACAGGCAGATTTGAGAGGCTTCTGTTTCATGATGGTGCTTCCCACCTCTTCTGCCCAGTGTGCTGTGCACTACAGCCTGATGCACAGAACATGGGTTGCTGGTTCGGTGACTGTGTTGGCTGAGTAGGAGAGTGCAGAGACAGCAGGGTGGGCATCTCACATCGGCTGGGGGTGGGGTGCTGTAGCCTGCTCTCAGGCTGAAGTTTGACCCATTGGGATGGGAAGACCTGTGGCTGATCCTAGGTGGAATTGGCCTTGAAAGGGAGGCAAAGGGGAACAACCCTGAGCAGTGCCAGGTGTGTCTGAGTGCTGCCTCAGCTGATGCCTGCAGGCCTTTACAGCTGGTGAAGGTGTGCCTCTCCCCACAAATAGCTCTACTCTGGCTGCCAGCCCTGTGGGACAAAGTATGCTCAGCAGATGTGGAAACCACAAGAGTGAGCAGCAAATGTGACTCTGGAGAGCATGAAGGGAGTGGCCGCTGGGTCCCTGTAGCCTGGCAGGGATATTGCTGTGGCCTCACACTGCACTTCCCTAGGGCTGGGTTTCACAACCCGTATGTGCTGATGCAGGAGCTGGCAGGGCTGCAAGCACGAGGTCTGCACCCATGACACTGTCAAGGCTGTGCTGGCATCAGTAGTTCTGTGGAGAATCTTTACCCGTTCCTCCAAGGGCAGGACAAAGATCCTGCTGCCAGCAAGATGTGCCTGGAAGTTTCTTCTCACCTGCCTTTAGGTGTTTTTTGGGCCTGGGGATGCAGAAACTGTCATTACCAAGAGCAGAAGCTGGGATGATGGTGTTAATTACATTTAAAAAGGAGGTGGAGGCGGAAAGTATTTTTCTGCAGCTCCCATAGCAGCACTGGTGATCACACCTGAGATCAGGCAGCAGGAGCTGTGGTGTGGATTTGCAGGCTGTTTGGTTGTTTCATGGGTGGCTGAACTGCAGATTAGGCTGTGAAATTAGAAAGCCTAGGCTTGAATGGAACAGTAAATAGGCTCTGAAAATAGCTGTGCTGAAAGGGAGACATCATCTCCGCAGGTTGGAGTGAGGAAGCAGGGGTGCACCTTTAATGCATAGTAGTGGGATGAGTAGGCACATTGTTTTCTCCCTTTCATTGGTAGGAGGGAAAAGGTAGAAACACAGTGAAAAATAACAGCTTGTTTGGAAAGGCTGAAGAGTGCTGGCAAAGGTTTCCAGACTGGTTAAGATGCCCAGCTGTGATGTATCTTTCTCATTTGTAGCTAGGTCAACCTAACCTGTTACTTGTGAAAATTACAAGGCACTGACCTGAGAGAGGCTCAGTGTGATTTCTTAAGCTGCCTTTTTTTTTTTTTTCAATGCATATCCTGGGAAGCTGGAGCAGCATGCTAGAAAGCTTGCTAATGCTGGAGAATGAGCTAAGAAGCGTGTGGACTCAGGATGCTGGGCTCTGAAGCACCTTCAAGCACACAACCCCCAGCTCCATTGAAGCTGGAGTGGTATAAGCAATAATTGCTCAATTTTTATTCTCCATTTTCCCCTCCTGACTCTTCAGCAGCAAACATGGTGTTGGTTAGGCAAGGCAGGTAAGGTGCTGCAGGCCACAGGTTCCAAGCCTATTCTGTTCCATCTTAACCAACAAAATTAAAAACACTGTAATGCCTTCTTCAAATCAGAGGAAGTGGAAAACATCCGGCTGTGTTCCAGCGCATTGACATGTGCTTCAGTTCTGCAGTAACACGCAGTTCTCTTGGCTGACACTTGGTGACAAGAGCAAGGTTGTTAAGCCACCTACCTTCTGTTTACATAACCAGCCTTCTTCTGCTCACGTAACCAGCCTTCTCCTTTCTGAGTCATCCAACTCAGGTCTGGGAGGGGTGATTACGGAGGGCTCTACCGCATAGAAATCCCTCTAAAGTGGCCATTGATTGCTAAATGATTTGGACCTATTTGGTAGAATTAAGTTGTGACTCCTAATAGAGTCTACTGGCCTCCTTGTCCTTGATGATTCTTTCCTTTTTTTTCTGTTTAGAGTGGTGTGAACTCTTCCAGAGATGTGGAGCCTGCCCATGGAGTACTGTCTGGCTCGCTTGTTTTAACTTTGTGAATGCTCTTGGAGCATTGTGAACACTTTTTCCCAAATTCTGGAAATGCTTTACTGTTTGAGGCAGCCAATGTGAAATAAATTTGTATCAATTCTTTAAAATATGCCTAAGG